TTTATGGCCATTAGTGTTTCTACTTTTGTGAAATTTTATGAAATACCTATTTGTATCTTTGCCTAATAAAAATTTGAATTTTGTAGGTTTTTTTAATGTATTATTGTTACTGATTTTCTGTTGGTTATATGTGTTAATATTCTCTCCTAGTTGGTAGCTTTTCTTGGCACTTCATGCTGTGTTTTGATGAACAAAAGCTGCTAATTTTAATGGATAGAGTTTCAATACGGCCACAAGTTCCCTGTGCCATCATGATTAAAATTATTTATATGTTCCTCTTCACCCATTTAAATATTTCCCTTGTTTTTATGGGAATCTTAGCTGTTGCTTGTTGGGAATCTTTAAAGCAATCTCTAATAATGGTTTTTAAGTTTTTATCTGTTGTTGGAATAGTTTCTTTCATAGAGATTTTGTGGCCACTCTGTGGGAGAATTTATCAGTATTTTTCATGGTTCATTTTCTTGTGTTTTAATTTAAAAAATCCTTACATATTCAGATCATGAAGGTATTTTTATACATTACAAAAATTTTTAGTTACGCCTTTTACAATGGTTTCTAATCATCAGAAAATTATTTTTTGTTTGTATATTGTATTAGGGATCCAGTTTCATTTTTCCCCCTTTACAGAGATAGCCAGTTAAAATTACAATGCCATTTCTTCATATTTTAGGTAAATATATGTTAGGGTGAAGGCTAGGTTACTGTATTAAATGCAGAACATAGTGGTATAAATAACAAATTTATTTCTCATAAGCTAAAGTCCGGCTGGTTTAAGAAAATGGTATCAGTCTGCTTGGTTATTCACTGGACCAACTTTCTTTCATCTTGTTCCTTCATTATTTTCTAAGCTTTTGTTCTTTGTCTGCAGGGTCTGATAATATAGAATTGTGCTGTCTTATTTGTTTTTTCCTTTAGTTCTTCTCACCCTGAGGTTTTCTATCTGTTGTTTTGTTTAAAACTCAATTTTTGTTTTTTATTGATCCTTTTCAGAGTATCATTGCCATCCGTATTCTGTATTTTTATTGGTTATATGAGTTAGTGCTTCCACAGCTTCTAGTAGGTAGCTAGCACCCAGTGCATGTCTCCTTGGCAGCACCACCTCTGTGTTTAAAGAAATACTCACCCGAGTACCTTCTTTTCTGAGAATCTAGCTTTTCTCAGGAACTTGATGTTTGTTGGCATCCTTGTCCCCATGACTTTGGGTCATGGTTCCTTCTTCTCCAGAAAAGAAAGTCTTTGGGCAGTTCTCAGTCCTGAAACCTAACAGAGCCCAGGGACTCTTGTCAAGGTCAGTCTTCAATTCTTGCTTGCCTTCCTGGTAGCTTAAGCAGCTTTTCTACCTGGGTACTTGGATTAAACTATTATGAACAGGATATTCAATAACCAAGATTAAAAAAAAAAAAGAAAAGTTTCAAGTACTGGAATGAAAATAAAATGTCATTCAGTCTTTCTACTCATATATGTAATTTTTCTACTCATACTATTTTTTACACTTATTTTTTTCTTTTATGTATAGATTGTATCTTTGCATATTAGCATTTTCCTGATTGTTTTTGTGGGATATTCACTTCTCCTGAAATGGTCATTTTTGTTACACAGGAGAAAAAGTTTCTGTGGTCAGATTTAAAAAGGGACATTAATGCCTATCTTAACACTTCATTTCCTTTCTTAATTGAATCTAAGATCACTTGACATTCCATCTTAGATGAATTTTAAGAATATATATTTTTAGTAGAGATTGTTAATCCGAGTTTAAGTTCTAATTCAGTTTGTTTCAGTAGCCATGACTGTGGAACAGCTATCAATTACTGTTTTTATTGAGTCATTTGATTTTTATATCTCTTCCAACTTAAGCATCTGTGCCAAGATATATAAAATAAAATTGTCCCATCAGTTAATGTGGAAACATTAATATTTTCAGTACTGTAGAATCACTTATTTTGGTCATAGAACTGGTAAGCTTTATATTCATTGGAAAGACCAACATAATTTTTTTTAAAATGTTTATAAACATTTTCAATAATTTTGGTAAAAATATCTAGAATTTCAAATAACTTGATATTCTGCTGACTCAGTTATGAAGGCTGCTAAACCTACTCTTCTAGCAGTATGTGTGAAATCATTCGAGGGAGAAAAAAGCCCACAAATAAAGCATTTTTTAAAAATTGACAAGACTTTGCCATTCTTGAACATACATTGTAGGAAGGAGTGTCCTGCACGCATCACATCAGAATTACAGGCTTTCTTTTATACTTCGGTAGATCTAAGATTCCTCACTCCTCATCTCCAGAATTACTTATGAATCCACTGGGGTGGAAGGATTTTGACTCACACAAATGTTTAAAAAGTAAACTGATAAGACGTATTTAAAAGAAGTCAGGTATACTTTTGAAAAGTATGGGAGTCTTTCTTGAGAACTAGGGCAATGGTTAATAATAAGCATTCATTCACTTATTTAGTCAACAATTATATGTGGACCCTGTGCTTGGTTGACCCTTGGGAATATTATAGTGAACACTGCTGATGTGGGTCAGACATGCTGTTTGGTAATCACTGTTCATGTATTATGACATTTAATCCCAAGGATTTTGATGTAAATGTTCTCTCCATATTACGAATGAAGAAGTTAAAGCTTAGAATAGTTAAGTAATTTACTAGTTACATAGCTGGTAGGTGGTAGCTAAACTACAGAGTCCCTTTTCTTAATGCCGTATCACATACTTGCCATAAAAACAATGAAAATTAGGATAAGCTATCACATCAACAGACTAAAAAAAAAAAAAAATCACATGATAATAGCAATAGATGCAGAAAAAGCATTTGACAGAATCCAACATCCACTTATGATGAAAACTAGTAATAGTTTCTGGTTTTAGGAGAACTTCTTCAACTTGATGAAAAACATCTACAGGGGCGCCTGGGTGGCTCAGTCGTTAAGGGTCTGCCTTTGGCTTAGGTCGTGATCCCAGGGTCCTGGGATCGAGCCCTGAGTCAGGGCTCCCTGCTCAGCGGAGAGCCTGCTTCTCCCTCTGCTTGCTCTGCCTGCTACTCCCTATGCTTGTGTGCACACACACTCTCCCTCTCTCTCTCTCTGAAAAATAAAATCTTAAAAAAAAAAATCTACAAAGAAACTACAGCTAACATCATACTTAATGGTCAGAACCTCAATACTTTCTAAGATTAGATGCAAGGCAAGGACATTTTCTCTCATCAGTTCCTTTCAACATTCTATTGGAAGTTTTTGCTAATGTGCTAGGGCAAGCAAAGGAAATAAAAAGGTATACAGAACAAGAAGGAAAACATAAAATTGTTGTTTGCAGATGACATGATAGCCTGTGTAGAAAATCTGAAAGAAAGGACAAAAAATCTGGAACTAATAAGCAATTATTACACTGTTGCAGGATATACGGTTAATATACAAAAGTCAGTTGCTTTTCTGTATATCAGTGATGAACAAATGCAGTTTGAAATGAAAAACACAATACTCTTGACAGCACCCCAGAAAATGAATAGCTAGGTATAAATCTAACACAAAATATAAGAAGATCTATATGAGGAAAACTACAAAGCTCTGATGAATGAAACAAAAAAAAACCCAAAACAAATGGAGAGATACTCCATGTTTGTGGATAAGAGGACTCTATATTGTCAAGATGTCAGTTCTTTACAACTTGACCTGTAGATTTAATGCAGTCCCAATCAAAATTAGAGCAATTTATTTTGTCGATACCAGCAAGTGGATTCTAAAGTTTCTGGGGAGGGGCAGAAGATCCAGAATAGCCAACACAATACTGAAGAAAAACAAAATTAGAGGACTGACACTACCCAACTTCAGCACTTACTGTGAAGCTACAGTAATCAAGACAGTGTGGTTTTGGTGAAAGAACAGATAAATAGGTCAGTGGAACAGAATAGAGAGCCCAGTGTAGAGCCCCCGTAAATATAGTTGGCTTATCTTTGACAAAGGCACAAATGCAATACCATGGAGCAAATACAGTCTCATTAAGTGCTGGTGGAACGATTGGACATCCACTTGCAAAAGAATGAATCAAGACACAGTTAACACTCTTAAGAAAAATTAATTCCATGGATTTAAGGTTCCTCCTTATCTTTCCATGGTTTGATAGCCCGTTTTGTTTTACTTCTGAAAAATATCCCATTGTCTGGACATTCCACAGTTTAGTTATTCCATCTACTGAAAGACTTTTGGTTGCTCCCAAGTTTTGACAGCTATGAATAAGGCTGCTGTAAATATCTGTGTGCAGGATTTTGTGTGTACATTACATTTTCAACTCCCTTGGGTAAATACCAAGGTGCACAGTTGTTGGATTATGTGGTAAGAGTGTATTTGTTTTATAAAACTTCCAAACTATTTTCCAAAGTAACTCTCCCTCACCAGGGATGGGTTGGGGGAAGGATGAATAAAGCAGAGCATAGAGAATTTTTTAGGGCAGTGAAAATACTGTATACAACATTATAACGATATAAATATGTCTTTATACATTTGTTCACACCCATTGAATGTACAACATCAAGAGTGAACCCTCAGTTAAACTGGATTTTCACTGATTATGATGTGTCACTGCAGGTTGATCCTTGGTAATAACTGTACCATTTTGCTCGGAGGTTTTGATAATGAGGGCCTTAATTTATGTATGGGGGCAGGGAGTATATAGAAATCTCTGTTGACGCCTTCTCATTTTTATTGTAAACCTAAAACCGCTCTAAAAAATAAAAGCAAAAAGAAAACGTTTTTATTGTCGATAGTGAACCAATACTTCGGCGAAAGGAAAGAAGGAAAAACTGTTGGCTTTGTGGAAAAGGGAGAGAGATTGACAAGAAAATGGAGTTAGTTTTCTCTTTTAGGGGTTAAAATTTTAAACGATTCCCAGTAGTGCAACAGCTGACATTTGTTTTTCAGTGAATATTTGGAAAATATAGATAAGTGACAGATTCATATTTTTAAAGATGTCTTATGCTAATGTGTTTGTTTTTTACAGAGAGGATCTGACGAACTACTCTCAGGCAGTGTTCTCAGTAGTCCGAACTCTAATATGAGCAGCATGGTGGTTACAGGTAAGTGTCTCTCTCTTAACAGTGTTGCTTAATTATTTGCCATTTTATGGGGCAGAATGTTAAAATGAAAATTTAGTCTTTTATCAGAATAGCCTTTTATAATTTATGTTAAATGTTTTAAATGTTTCTGTTGAAACGCTACAGAGGAAATTTTACTAGAGTATATATGTGTAAAAAAAAAAAAAAGTATGTGAAGTGTGTAAAAAATGTATTAAAAAAGTGAAAAACCTAAACTTGATGATTTCTGTGGGCAAGTACCTAAGTCTGATTGCCTTTTTTTAATCACAAAAATATAACCCTTTTTCTTTCATGTTCTGAGTCCCCTCATTCTTGCCCCTTTTTTACTTTTGTTTTTAGTTTTTATGTTTGCGTTTCTTAGAATATTTTTTACATAGTCCCCCTGCTTCTCTGAGGGATATGTTCCAAGACTTGCAGTGGATGCTTGAAACTGCAGGTGGTACAAAACCCTAAATATACTATGCTTTTTCCTATATACCTTTGATAAAGCTTAGTTTATAAATTGGTCATATTAAGAGATTAACAACAACTAAAAATGGAACAATGTAACAGTACAGTATAATAAAAAGGTGTACTCACCCTTTGTCTTCCTATGATGATGTGAGATGATAAAATGGCTGTGTGATGAGATGAAGCTAGGTGAATGAAGTAGGCATTGTGATACAGTATTAAGCTATAGTATCTCAGAAGGAGGATCATCTGCTTCTGGGCTGTGGTTGATAACTGGTAACTGAAACCATGGAAAGCAAAGCTGCAGATAAAGGGAATTACTGTGTTTTAAGTATTCCACATCCCACAAGCCCTGAAGCCCAACTAAATAAAAATAAAAAGATTCGGCTGCATAGTTGTCTTTTTTGTGTGCTTTCCCCCTTTTTTCTTTGCTCTAACAATATTTTAATTCTTTGAATTGAGTCCTTTAATGTTATCTCCCTATTATCTTCATACTTAGGGTATTTTTCTTGTATATGTCTGAAATAACATTGTTGGTTGTTTGTAATGTCTGTCTAAACAAATATAAACTAGTTTTGGACCCTAGTTTTATGGGCCAGAATTTGAATCTGATGATGATGATGACGACGACAACTGAATTAGTTTACTTTATAACCCTGCATTTTACATTGTTTACCTAAAACCAAAGTTCCTTTCCTGAATTACTTGCTTGAGGAATTAATTGTACTGGATAGTAAAAGGGTTGTAAAAGATTAGAAGCGTTTTGATTTACTTCAGGTAGCTATTGCTTATGTATATGTACACCTTGGCACACACATACACATGCTTGGCAGCTCAGTTAAATAAAAACTGTAATGAAGTACTTACCAAATGTAGTCATAATGATGTGAAAATGAATTTGCCCACACATCATTATTATTGACTTTTCCATGATTACAAAGCAAAATCACTAGGCCATGGTTTTGATAGTCAAATTACAGTATACAAATAATTAAACAGGTTCAAATGTCTGAAATGCTGCTTTGCTAGTTTCATTTTTTAAAACAATATATATAGTGATGAATAGTTGAAATGTTTTAAAAAATTAATATGTAGGGCTATGACATAATAACTGATAGCAGCCTTCCCTTCTCCCCCCTGATATGCCCTCCAAAATCAACAACTATGAAACTGTATAAGATATATTGGACAACTGTTGTCTGGAATTGATGAGCAGACAGTACTAGATAATGATCCCTGAAAGAAGGGAATAGGATTATTATCACATGAGGTGAATCCCATAATCACTTTGGCTTTCTGCCTTGGAGTACTCTGCTATTATAGCACAGGAAAGGGGAATCTAAGCAGAGTATGGAAGTCTCACTGAGCCAAAAAGACAGATTGGAATTCAAAGCTTCTCAGACATCTGGGATTTGTGGAGAAAGGTCCTGAAAAAGGAAGCTCTCCGGGGGTTTGAACGTAGGGCAGGGGTCAGAATTCAGTGTGGGGATTCATTTGATCAGCATTTTTGAATAATAGCTGGGCTGCCTGTGTGCAGGTTGAGAACTGTGCATGGTCTGTCAGAACTGATGTGCTTTGGGGCTGAGAGCAAGAATGGTGGTTCCAAGGGTTGTTTAGTGCTCTGAGACCTTAGAGTTCTGGGAAGTCAGAATGCAGACATCTTGGAGAGAACCTCAGGCATTTAATTTAGACTACAGAAAGCCCAGTCGTTAAGAGAACGGATCACACACTATAGTAAGTGCCAACCTTAAGACTAAGTTAAGAAACAGATAGTTTAGGCTGACAACACATTAAGGATCACTAGTAGTTTAATTGCTTGCCTAAACAAAACAGTACCCCCTAGGGAAGACATGATTTAGTCTTCATTTTGTGAACTGTCATTCACAATATCCACCATACCATTAAAAATTACAAATTATGGAAAGCATGAAAACATTCCACAAAATAGAGAAGCATTAAATAGGAGCAGATACCAAAATGATCTAGATAATGGAATTAACCGACAGGGAGACTAAATATTTTTAAAGCTATAAAGGAAAATACTAAATAGTGAACACATAGAGGCATGTGTTAAGAGAGATAAGAGAAGTAGAGAGCATATAGAAATCTCTGAAATATATTTGAGATGAAAAATTCACTGGGGCTAACAGCAGATTGGAGACAACTGAAGAAAGATTATTGAACTTGAATACACATGGATAGACATTATTAAGTTTCCCAGAAAGACGAAAATATAGGGACAGGTAAGCTGTCTAATACATGTATAATTGGAATTCCAGAGAGGAAGTAAAGAGGATGGGGCCAGGTATATGTAATTGAAGCAATAATGGCTGAAAACTTCTAAAATTTTAAGAAAAATATCAAGGTGGATAAATAAAAAGAAACACGCTTAGGCACATAATAGTCAAAATATTGAAAACTAATGATAAAGAGCAAATCTTATAGCAAGGAAAAAGCCATCTCACAGGAGACCAACACCTTCACTTAACTAAAAGGAAAAAAAAAAAAGCTAACTTTAGGTTGAATAGAATGACACTACATAAAAACTTGGATTTGCAGGAAGTAACCAGGAGTACCAGGAATGGTAAATGTGTGTGTAAATTAAAAAGGCTCCCTTTTAATTCTTTAAATCTCTTTGAAAGACTGTTTATGTACATTAAAAAGCAAAACAAAACCTTTGTATTATGTGGTTTATTTATGTATGTAGATGTTTCTATGACAACAGCACTAAGTGAAAATAAATAGAATTTTATAGTTGTAGGGTTTTTATTATTTATATGAAATGATAGAATATTAACTCTAACATAGATTCTATTAAGATTGCATATAATCTCCAGAAAAAAAAAAAGATACAAGGAAGTGTAGTTAAATGTGAATAGAGAGAAAGTTGGAGGACTGATTCCTTGTTTCCAAAAGTTATTGTAAAGCTGAGTAATCAAAACAGTGTCCTGTTGGCATAAAGAAAGATAGATTAATAGAACAGAATAGAATGCAGAAATAAACCTACATAATTATGGACAGCTGGTTTTTGACTAAGGTATCCATATGTTAAAAAATAAATAAATACTTGGATCTGTATCTCATACCCCATAGTCAAGAATTAGCTCTGAATGGACCATACATGATGTAAATCTAAAATTATAAAACTTCTAGAAGAAGACAGAGTAGAAAATCTTTGTGACCTTGCTTTAGGACCCCAAAAACATAATCTATAAAAGAACAAATGGGACTTTGTCAGTTTTTAAAACTTAAAAGTTTTTCAAAAGACATTGATAGTAGAATGAAAAAACAAGCCGTAGAATAGCTGAGCATCTTTATAAAGCATATAGCTGATAAAGAACTTTGATCCAGAATATATATAAATTTGGACTGTATAAACTCTAAAACTTAACAAGGCGACAAACAACCCAATGTAATAAATTGGCAAAAGTACTTGATAGTTCAGCAAAAACATATGGCAAGTAAGCACATGAAAAAGATACTCAAAGTATTAATCATTAGAGAAATGTAGATTAAAACTAAAGTGAGATAACATTACCCCCCTATTATAATGGCTAAAATTTAAAAGATTGACCATACTAAGTGTTGGAAAGGATGTGGATGAACCAAAACTCTCATATATTGTTGGTGGGAATGTAAACTTGTAGAACTACTTGGGCAAATAATCTCGCAGTTTCTTAAAAACTTAAACATCTACGAAATGATGCAGCTGTTTGTCTCTTTGTTATTTATGCATGATAAAAGAAGGCATTTGTTCATTAAAAATAAAGCTAAAAAACTTAAGGTGAATGTTCATAGTAGCTTTTTTTGTAATACCCAAAGCCCAAAACAATCCAGATGTCCATCAACAGCTGAATGGATAAACAGATTGCAGTTTTGGCATTGTATTCCATTGCATACCATGAAATACCACTCAGTCCTAGAGAATAAGTTATTTTTTTTTTTTTTAAGTAAGCTCTCCGCCCAACGTGGGGCTTGAACTCATGACCCCAAGATCAAGAGTCTCATGCTCTACTGACTGAGCCAGCCAGACTCTCCTAGAATAAGCCACTGATACATGTAGTATCAGGGATAAATCTCCAAATAATTATGCTGTGTGAAAGAAGTGGGGGAAAAGGAGTACATTCTGTATGATTCCATTTATATAAAACACAAGGAAATGCAAACTAAAGCAGTTTGGATTTGGGGGTGGGGAAGTGCAAGGGGGACATGGTTGCAAAGAGTAAAAGGAAATTTGGGGGTGATGGATATGTATACTTACAGTATTGTAGAATATTTCATGGATGTATGCATATATCAAAACTTCTCAAATTGTATGCCTTAAATATATGTAGCTTATTGTATGTGAATAAAACCTCAAAAGGGCTGTTTAAGAAGAAAAAAGCCCATAGATGGATTAAAATGGAATACTATCAAATATTCTATTAGTGCAGTGCAAGAGAAGACCACTACCAAAAACACTGGGTAGTTAGAAAATAAATAGCTGTTAAACTAACCTCTAAATACTAAACTAATGTGTTAAAAGTAAATTG